CATTGTAATATATAATGAAATAATTATACAACTCACCATAGGTTGGGGACGCCCGTGTTACAGGATGAAGGGCAGCCCCCTCCCCTGCCCACAGTAGGTGGAACTCACCCCCCCGCCCCAGCCGGGGTTGACCACACTTACTATGTACAGGTAGGAGGGGTAGGCCGAGCGAGGGTAGCGCTTCACCCAGGGCGGGGTGCCCGTCTGCATGTGGATAAGCGTGGCCCCCAGGCTGTAGATGTCTGCTTTGGTTGAATGGCCCCTGCATAGAATTACCTCTGGGCTCATGTAAATCTGAAAAAGATGGAAACATCAGCCTGATTCCCTTCATTTGTCTGGGTTTCCATTTCCCTAATTCAGTTCCAGAAATCTCGATCATATTTATTGCACACTGCGTCCCTTCAGAAGAGAATGTCACGTTGTGTTCCCTGAGGCTAAGGAGAAAAATGCAGGTGTTCTCTGGGAACCAAGGCAGCTTTGGCTGGAGGCGTCCCTGCAGTCTGACAAAGAACACCTTCTTCTACAGACTGAACACATGGTTGATACGGCAGCAAACCAGCCTGGAACCCGGAACCTGCCTGGGACTGCCACTCCTCAGGGGCTGCAAAGCGCTGATCAGGTGTAGCTAATTTTTCTATGAAAACACCAGTTCCTAACATTTAAATGGATACTGCAAACATATCTCCTCACTCGTCTGTCATTAAATTGCTAAACCTCTATTATCTGTGGTGATAAAAGGTGGCAGAAGTCTACGGTCTATTAACACCAATCTCTTGGAAAGGAAGAACTTGAAAACTAACGTGTAATGTTGTAAAAATGACCCTAAAGAGTAATTTCTATCAATACCTCTTATTTCTACCTGCCATGCAGTCCAGTGACTACATATTAAATGCATGCATATAACATAATATGCATTAAATTCATGCATGTGAACACTGTGTAAGTTCATTTGGTTTCATGAGTCAATTCTGAATAAGCAGGGCTGGTTTTATAAATAGTTTCCCTAAGAAGTGTTTGTTTCTAAACTTAGAAAAGAAAGCGAAAGATAGCGAACACTGGTGGCCAGCGATCTGTATTCGTGGCGGTGCAGACATACAGCAGCTAATAATCGAACTATCAGTATGTAGCTTTGAACAGTTTGTATTAATATATTGTATCAGGTGATCATGGAGAAGGGGGTTAGTGTTCCCAGCATATTTCAAAGTCAGTAAGTAGAGAACCGGCTTACAAAAACTGGGGAAATTGCCCTGTTTCCCCACCCTAACCCTGCTCAACTCCTTCCCACAACACACTTCCGGACTGGCTTCCTTTCTCTCAGCAAACAGGCTAAACTGAGCTCCTTGTTCTCAAACTTTCCCTGCAGCAGAGACAGAGCATTTGGATCCTGAAGACTTTCTCACTAAACATAAACACAAAGTGAAAAGTAAATGCACAATGTTGTAGCTACAGTCAACAGTAATGTACACTAGCAAACGTATTAAGAGGGTAGATCTCGTGTTAAGTGTTACTACCATCATCGAGTAAATTAAAAGAGAAAAGGGAAATGCAGTGGGTATTACTGTGAACAGAGGACATCCACCTCCTTCCTCGCCCTGCCCCTTCGGTAAAGTAAGGATTAGGCAAAGCGTTTTCTGTTGGTGTAACCAGCAGTAGCTGTGCACAGGTGGCTCTACGGGTTGCGTGGGATTGACACGTGGGCAGCATTTGGGGATGGCAGCCCCCTGTCCAGCCTGGTGGCCAGATGCTACCCTCAGGCAGATACCCAGAGCTTTATGGCCCAGAGCTCCTGTTTCCTCAAGCTCTACAAGACCCAGAACAGCCAGGACGGGGCATCAGGGCATGACGTCCAAGCGCTCTTCGGGCTGGCAGCCTAGAAGGCACAGAACAGCCCTGGTGGGACCAACGCGAGGCTGAGAGTTCTGCACCCTCAGGCCTGGGCTCCTGAGCAACAGGACCTGCATGTCAGGACTCCCTGATGTCGGGATTGAGCCCTTCACCTCTCAGCACGTTTATTAGACAGAGAAAGAGACTGTGCGGGTATGTGATGATTCTGTGTTAACTTACAAAGGGAAAACCAAGCAGACTCAGAAGAAAATAAGAACTTTCTTTTTTTTTTTTT